TTATGATATCCATATGTGTGCAGTACAGTCAGGGTCAGCACAGAGGAGACCTCTGCTCTGGCAGAACACCCAAACCCCCCAGCACCACCACACCAGGGCCCCATGGTTTGGCACTGGCTGAGTCCCAGCAGAGCAAAGGTGCCAGTGGCTGTTGGCACAGCAAGGCTCCCACTGAAAGCTGCAAGCACGAGTTGGCGTTTTCAAGGCAACGCCATTTCAACTTTAACAGGCAAATCTACTCTGAAAAGGAGCATTGAAAACTGGCACTTTCATCCCTCCCAGACACAGTCCTCAGTATTGTGCTCACAAGTTTGGATAACAAGCAGACCCGTATTCTGCTGCTACAGGAGACAATGTCTGATTCAACTTCTGTCTCCCCTTTCCCTGAGGCAAGGCAATAAAATCCCCTTTAAGCTAAAGACCACCTGAGCTTTTTTAATAAAACCACATTTAAAAAGACACATTAAAAACCAAACACAATCTCACACCACTCCTCCCCTTTGACTTTAAAAAAAAAAAGGCAGCAAATAGCAGCTTTTTCCACATGCCCTTTCCTTTGCTACTTGCTCATGCACACGTACAAAGATGAATAGCCATGCCTCAAATAATCCCACTCATTTTGAGAGCCTCAGGACAAGCACTAATGAGAAAAAGAGTTATTAAAGGTTTGTCCATCCCATTCTCTCCCAAATTTGCCCTCTTTGCTTTTCTGAAAAGTCTTTGAGTCTCAAACTTTAAATGCCAGCAACGTTTCTAACTCTTCCTAAAAGGCACCAAAGGAAAGTAAGTGCCCCAAAAAAGACAAACTTTTCATTCATCTAATCCTAAAGACTGAGCAAGTAAAGCAGAGTAGGGTTCTTACCTGCCAGGGCCTGGTTCAGCTTACTGGGTTTGGGCATCTTGACGAGCAGGTTTGGGGCACTGGAGAGAGAAAAGAAAAAAGGACAAGCTCAACAGCACAGAAAATCCACTAATAAAGAAACCAGCAGTAAAACTGCCTCCTGAATGCCAGAGCCCTGCATATATTAACAGGGCTTAATTGCTCAGATGAGCCCCAGATGGGACCCTCAGCCATGCACCCTTCTCCCACTGGCCCAGCAGCTGTATTTAAGGAGGCCTGTCCTTACCAGAGCTCTCTCCTAAGTTTATTTACCTCTAAGATAGGCTTCAGAGCTATCTATGCTGTATATTGCCGCCTCCAGCCCCATCTCCTCTTAGCTGGAGGCTGGGCCTGACTCATCCCTTCCTCCTGCTGGACCCTGCTCTGATCCTCTGATCCCTGCTCTTGCTATTCCACCACAGAGCTTCCTACAGGCAGCCAACCTGCACTATGCATCCAATGGGAATCTAAAGAGAAGAAAGGCTGAAGGAGACTCACATGAGTTTGTCACCCGTTTTTCTTTGGAATTCAGGAGGATCTGGACACCAAGTATCCCTTTCAGGTTCTTCACCTACGTGTTTTAGCAGTATTTCCCAAAGCTGGCAGCTGCACCTCAAGCTAGTATGGGATGGACGGGCAGCCAGGGTCATGCCGTGAGTTGGAGAAAGGAGTTAGGAAGGAAAGGGGGAGCAGCAGCATGAACACTGAGGAAGGGGTCACTGGAGAAGACAGCAAGCTGGATTCACATGAGCAGAGCAGGAACATATGAAATCCAACATGCTGGCACAGAGAAATCACCCATGGGCTCTGTCTCAGGTGGCACATGTGCATCAGCTGCAGTTAATACACGGTGAATTCTGACAACTATCCCCAAGGACTCCCCAAAACTAAATCAAACCTGGCCAGCTTCTTAGGAATTCAGAAACCAAGGTGGTCAAAAGCCCAAGTCTCATCCACTATTAAGGGAGAACCTTCTTCTCTCCAGTTGGGATGCAAGAGCTGCCACGGTGCCACAAATAGCACCACAGAGGTCCAGGTTGGTCCTTTCAGCCTTGCTAAAATCTTTGTCCACATTTCCATGACAATGAGCAGAGCTGAAAAGATTTGTGTCATGTGACTGCCTTCCACCCTCCTGAGAGGGAGGCATTCCTACCTCTCCCCTCTCCTACCTGTCACAATTTGGAATGGGCTCCTGCAGGTCTCCTGAGCTTCCTGAGAAACCCTGGGCAGGACCCAGGGCTTCATGTGGCACTGACAACCTGGCTGAGTGAACCAGCTCTTCCAGACCCTTATAAATCTCTCCAGACCAGAGAGATTTTCCTTCTGCCTCTTTCAAATGCTGTGCTTTCCCTTTTGCTGCCTCCAATTTTGCAATGTCTTCAGATGATGCAACGGATTGCTCTGCCTACAATTCAAACCCACCAAATTTGGGGAAATCCTCTAAGGGATTTCAAAGGGCGCTGAATCAGATGATTTTATGACTTGTTTCTTTACCGCTTCACCCTCTTTGTCCCAGCTCTTTCTCAGATATTTCCCTCCTCCTTCTTCACCTCATCCCTTTGCTTCACAGAGACATTGGACCTTCCTTCATTTCTTCCTCCAACTGAGCAGCCAAGAAAACCACACAGAGCTGGGCACCCTCTCTACCCCAGCCTGTGACCCTGCATGTGACAGATACCGAGGAACTTGTGCTTTATTGTCACACCATGACATGCAGGTGCTTTCACTTCCCCATGGGAGGTAAAAATACAGCAAAGTACAAAGCTGAACCTCCCACTGGGCCAGGAAAGCAGCAGGGGATGCTTCCAAAGGGGTGGAGCACAGGGTCATTACACCTGAGGCTGGAGAAAGCAAACCCAGAGCTGCCCTGGGAAGGGGATCACTGGTAACCACATTCTGAGATGATGGAAGAGACAATTTTCACTCTTCTTTCAGCACTGTAAGCCTTAAGCCCAAGCCACCCAGGAACTAGAACTTGTCCTAGTTTCAGCTGAGACTGAGTTGATTTTCTCCCTGCTAGCTGGTACAGTGCTGTGGTTTGGATTTAGGATGAGAATAATGTTGAAAACACAGGGATGTTTTAGTTGTTAGCAGTGATCACACTAAGTCAAGGCCTCTTCTGCTCCTCCCCTCACCAGTGAGGAAGCTGGGGAGGGGACACAGCTGGGACAAGGGATATTCCAGACCATTTGATGTCATGCTCAGTATAGAAACCAGGGGGAAAACTGCTGCTGGTCAGTGGGTGTGAGCAATTACATTGTCATCCCTTGTTTTGTACATTTCAAGTCTTTTATCATCATTATTTTCCTTCCCTTTTCTGTCCCGGTAAACTTTCTGTATTTCAACCCAAAACTTTTCCTGTTTTTCATTCCAGTTCTCTCCCCCATCCCAAATACTTCTTCTTCTTTCAGTAAATATACCCCCCCAGTCAGCAGCACCCCAGCCAACAGTGCCGCAGGATGTGCTGACCCATCTGCTCAGCACTGTGGGACCACACTGGCACAGCTGCCACGCTCCCTGATTTCTGTTACAACTGCAGAAAGCCCAAAGGTTGATGAAATCAAGGGAAATCCAAACTGCTTTGAGGCACCACGACGCTGCCTGGGCAGGTCTGCAGCCGCAGTGAGTGGGAGGAAGTGATGTCACGCCAAAAAAGGTGCGGAAACACTACTTGGAGCCTACGCTGGGTCTGAAGTGGGGGGTTTTTGGAGGAGGAAGGGGAAGAGGTAACAAGGAAGGATATTGCTGTTGTAGTGTAACATGGGCTGTGTCTCCCAGAGCAGCACAAGCAGACGTATTTTATCCACCAGCTCAGGTCCAAACAACTCCAGCATCGCCAGAACCAGCGGTGGCTTCCTGGGAGAGAGCTGGAGCCAGGTGAGGTCCTGCTGGTTTATTGAAAACAGGCTCAGTTAGGAGAAAAAACCTGATGCAGGCAGGCTGGTGGGGGTCTTGGGTAAGGGAGATCTGGAGGGCATCAGTGCAAGAGCAAGCACTGCAGTGTGGAGAGATGAGAGGGGTCCACTGAGGCACCTGCTCCTGCTGCCTCTGCTGCCCAGGGAGATTTGTAGCCAGGCAGTGCCTTTGACTCCCAGCCAAGCCTTCAGGCTGGGCTTGCAACACCTGAAAGTCAACGCCTGAGTTCTCTGAACACTTCCTAGTATTGTCTCCTCTTTCCTGGCCCAATTTTGTCCTGCTGCTCGCTGCAGCTCCTGCTCTCCTGCTGCTCTGTATGCTGGAGGTTACCGAGTGTAACAGGGATCACCAGGCTGTGAATAAAGGGATGCAAAACAAGACACTGTCCTCGGAGATTCAGCAAGAAGATACTGTTATGATTTCCCACCACCAGTTCCCAGGCAGTCTGCTATGGGAGGCAGACAGGGCAGACTGATATTTCAGCATGACAAAACCACTTGCTTCTCCAGAATTTCTAGATTCTGCAGCACTAGTGAGACAGCAAAGCACAAGGCCAGCAAGGAAGTCTGTCAACAGCTTGGCATCCAGGGCTGCTGCCACTTCAAACACTGGATGGCCAGGTTTGAGCTGAACATCACCTAAGCCGCACATACACCCTATCCTAATGGAGCAGAAGTGGGGAAGCCTGTAAGAACTCGCCCTCTCCACCTGGTAACAGCCCTTTCTTCCTTCTTCTCCCCCTGCACACAAACAGCAGGCCGCACAGCTCTTATCCTGGCATCTCTGTCACCTCATGAACAACAGCCAGCACTTCTCCCCACAGGTCAGGGCTGTATCCAGACCTACCTCACACTAACATCAAGTGCTACCACAACACCCAAAGGTCCAATCCCCTTCCCAGGGCTCACCAACACTAATGGCAGTTTCTCCCCTTACCTTTCTTCTCAAGAAGAGGCCAAAACCCAGACCGAGTGTTTCTAAAGAAGGACCTTTTGGTCCACTGCACTCACGTGGCCACAGGGATCTGTGGTTTTGCTCTTGGTACCAAGCAGAGGGGTTCCCTTGCTCCCACTCAGGAATAGTACCCAGCAGCAGAGAACCACGCTGGCTAACAGGGCTGCAGGACAAGTTACAATAGGCCCAGCAGAACCAGCACCAGGAGAGCCCCTCCTCACCATCTGAGGAGCTTTTGGGAATGCCTACGGACAAAGCTGGAAGATGTGAAGGAGCAGAAAGAAAAGGAAAGGCCCTACCCAGATTCTGCTCCCTCCTGGTCCTACAAAGCACTAACTGTGGTTTGCTCCTTTTGGGAGATTTAGGGGCACAGCATCAGATCCCCAACACTGTCAGTATCCCTCCTTAGCCCTCAAGACCCCCACTCCCCATGCTTTTATAAAAAATCTTGTCCCCCTGAGCTGCCTGCTTTGTTTGTAGGCACAACCTAAATTGGGAGCCAAAGTTAGATAAGGTCAGAGGGGCCAGCAGATCTACAGCAGGGATTTGCCTGGCTGGAGCACTAATTAATAACCCCAGGAAGATCGCTTTCTTCAGCTTTACTCGCTCATATTACAAGCAGGGTGTTTCAGGAGTGCCCTACTCTGTAATTAGCCAGCACAGCGCAGGCAACAGGGTAGCTCTTGCCCCAGGGATGGATGCTTTCCCATGTGGGGTGGGAAGGATCACGCCAGGAGGTGGCTGGGATGCTGGGGAGCTAACCCCTGCTTCCCAGATCTGGCTAACAGCACTGAGATCAGGACACAACCTTTGCCATGGGACACGTCATGTGCAGTCTGTGAGAGAGGAGGGATTCATTAACTCTGTTTAATACACAGGAGGAAACTAACGTACTAAGCAGCAAAATAACTTGCCCACATGTATTTAACACATTAGCAGCAGAGCCAAGGATATTAGCATCTAGTTAAGCCTTGGCACTCTTCTCTGGGTTTTCCCTCTTTGACCCCCTTGAGAGCAGGAGGAAATCAAACCTGTGCGTTGCAGTGCCGGAGCTCTGCCCGCTCTCACGCAGCACCCGCCCTCCATCAAGCAGCAAATACGTTTAATAACCATTCAGTGCCACAGGAGCCTGGGCATGCCTGTGCTAACAGCCCCTTCTGGGGGCTCTGCCCGCCTGCCTGCTAGAAATAGCTATCACAGCCACACAGGGAGTCAGGCAGCTTGCCAGGACAAACTGCGCCTCTCTCTCGGCCCTGCAGGACAGAGGTTTATTTCAGTGTTGCCATTTTTAGCTGTGTTTCCTAAAGAAACGGGGTGTACACAACTGCACTGTCTGTCAGTCTCTCCCAGTCAGCTTTTGAGCTCTTCTGCCGGTTGAAGTTCAGCTCCAACAGGCAGCTGGGTCATCCCCAAAAGATTTGTGAAGATAAGCAGTTTGGTAAAAGCAAGTAATCTGTCAGCGCTGCCTTGGAGACAAAGGCTGTGGGGGTGAACACAACACAACCTTTATTAGACACCAGAGGATCCCCTGTAGCCCACTGCTCACTCCCTGTTGGCCTCTGAGCATGGGTCAGCGCAGGAATTGCACATCACAGTTAAGGGGAGTGAGCAATGGTGCACACTGGACACAGCCAGAAACCCTTCATGGGATGATTAGTGCAGGATAATCAGCCACAAAGGCTGGACTATTGGGTGATGCAGAACAGTGACTGTGAGGGAAGGGGAACAAACCACCATGCCACGAACAGCCGAGGGGGGAAGACAAGGATCCCAGAGGATACAATAACCCAGGAATGTTCTGGGCTTAGGAATTAAATGAAACACATTGTTAAGACTTTGCTACTCAGGTTTCCCCTAATTCACAGAAATTAAAGGATTTTCTGCTGAACATGGGTTTCACAAGCCCAATACTGTAACTCCAGCCAGGAGCAATTACACCCACCCAGCGGCATTTCCGACTCAGCCCCAGTGCAGAGGTGACAGGAAAAAGCCATCCCAAGCTGTCAGCTGCGGATGAACAAGTCCCTTTCACATACAGCACGCTACTGGAAGATGGAGATTGCCCCCCTGCGTGCACTTGGCTGTCTGGCAGGGACAAAGAGAGTGTCCCTGGCAAAACTAACCCCAAAGGATGGGAGAGCACACCCCAAGGGCACAGACAGGCAGCCAGGGAAGCAGGGCTCAGCTGGGGATGTGGGTTTTACAGAGGGTGACTGTCACACAGGTCTAAACAGCACTCACTCACTCCCTTCCAGGTGACCAAAGAGCTGCCACCTGCCCTGGGTGGCAATGTCCTGCTGTCCCCAGCACAGACTTAACCATACAATCCCCTTTGCATCCCCCAGAAAGGTTGGCTTGGGCAGGGATAGATGCCAGGACACCAGCCACCTCATCCCCTGCACACCACCAACAGCTGAGCTGAAAGAGGTTGAAAACAGCCCAACCTCAACCAGCCATGGCATTGCTGGGCACCTCCAAGTGTCCTCCTGGCCATTCCTCTCCTCCTGGCTGGCACTGCCTGGGCTGTGGGCTCAGTTCATGGTGAGGAGCCCGTGCCACCCCTCTCTGGGCATCTCTGTCCCATCCTCCCTCCTTCCAGGACAGCCTGTCCCCCCCACCAGTAGCATAAAACATACCCAGACCCTGATCCGCTCCAGACAGGCTTGTGGGGCAACTGCTGCAGCATTTGGCTCTTCCTTTTTTAATCTTCCCACCCTGAGAGTCACTTTGCAAATCCTGCTGAGGCTCTGGGGAAGGATGGGGGCTCCAGGCAGTCTGGAGCACCGACCAGTGTCTCCCGAGAGAGGGGGAATTTGGCAGCTTCTTCAGGAGACAGCAAGAGCCTTACTGGGAGCTCCTGCAGGCAGTGCTGATTTTCAGCCCTCCTCGAAGGTGACTGGAGCAGAGCAGTGCTGTGAATGCTTAAAGCACCACGAAAAATCACCAGGTGCAAAAAAAACCACCAAAAAAAGACCACGAGAAAGAAGAACAGGATGTGAGAAGTCATTTCACCCCGATGACCCTGGAGAGGGAAAGTCCTGATACGACACTAAGAAAAATATCTCAGGATTCAGCATCTTGTTTAAAACACAAATGAGAATCAAAATAAACCTCAAACCCCTGTGCCTCATGTAATTAGCAGAATGTGCTTCCAACACTCTAGATCTCTTATCTCTTTACTTACCTGAGGTAGTTTGGACAGGTAAGTCAGCCCTGGCAAGTTCCCCTGTAGTTTCTCAGGGGCTCACCCAGTGGTTCAGCAGCTGGATTATTCCCAGGGAAGTGGGTGTAAGGCTCTGCACATTTCCAGCCATTCACAGAGTGAGCAGTCAGCCAGCCCTTGCTTGGTCAGGTGCTCAGTGCCAGCATTGCCACAGACAGATCTCACAGACCTCTGCCAGCGAGGGCCTGTGCACAAGAAGAGTTAAGATCCTGGAAGTGGGATAGCTGACCATGGCTTGCCCCAGCAGCCCATGCCATGGAGAGGAAATGAGCTGTCAGACCACAAGCCTCTGCTTTTCACCGAGCTGGCAGCAGGCAAAAGGCCTGAAGAGAAGTGGAGCCCTTCCTCCCACACCAGTAGGGTGTAAACACAGCCTTCCTTCAGCTCCAGCTGCTCACTGATGGGAGCTGAAATCCTGGGCTGCAAGATGCACACCAGTTTCAGCCCTGTCAGAGAAGAGCCATGGTGAAATCCAGTGGCACTTCAGCTCTGCATCAGCATTTAGCCTGACAAATGGCCTGGACACCTGATTTTGGCAGAGAATTCATGAGGTCTCAGCCACACCCAATGAATGTGGTGGTCTCCTCCTTGAAGGGAAATGGTCTCCTCCTTAAAGGGGAAGAGCTTTGAACACAGAGAGGAGTTCCACTCTATGTTTACTGCCTACTTTGAATTAAATAGGTGTTTACAAGTCCCCTTGTAATTCACTTGGTCCCTCTCAAAGTTGTTTTTAAGCCTAACCCAAAATACCACAAATCACTATTAATTTTCTCCAACCTTCAGAACCTCAACCTGTCTGATTTCTCCAGTGGTTCAGGGAAAACTGGTAGGCAGGGACTATATTTCAAGTGAGGACTAAAAGGAGTGGAAAGCAGAGGAGAAGCCTTTTCATCCACTGCACTGGATACACAGGCACAAACCTCTGTCTTCCTGGGGAGAAAACCCTTGCATAAAGTCCTCTGGGACAGAGAGGCTCCTAGATAAGGCAGACCTGAGCACAGCAGATGTCTTGGACACAGAGAGGTGAATTAGGGTCTGTACCTGACTCCGTTAGATGCAGGCAGTCCTGTGCTGGGGCCCCCAGCTTGCTGCAAAGCCAAGGTGCTCTGTGCATTGAGCCTTGGTGTTGACCTCGCTCCAGTCAAAGTCGGTTTGTTATAGGGCACGAAGCCGACGCTGGAAGAACTTACTGACGCTGTCCTACCGGGAACCTGATGAGCAGCGGAAGAGTTGGGAAAGTTTACCATGGAGTGGCGGTAGCGTGTGGTGATGGGACCAGTTCCACTGTTGGGCCAGCACTGCTGGCAAGAACAACCCACCCCCATGTGAAGGGGTGCCGGGGAGGTCGTCACCGGGTACGGGGCGTCCAAGCGCCTCCGGACGCTGCGGTGGAACCGCGTGGTCTTGTTGGTCTGGACTTGAGCCGCAAGGTCAACCTCATAGTTGTAGCCCAAGGGTCCCAGGTCCACTCGCTGGTGGTTGGTGGCACGGGCTTGCTCCAGGAACACGCAGACGTTCATCTCGTACGGGGACCACCCGCCTTCGTCGTTCTGCCATTCCCAGACGATGCCCTGCCCCGCGGCGGAGTCCCCCGGGAAGACGTGCCTGCGGACAGCCCGCATCGTCCCTGTGTGGGGAGAGTGGGAATAAACACAGGCATTCTGAGAGGGGAGGATTAAGGAGGATTTGTTTCTGCACAGATCTGTGGCGCCTACAAGAGGGTGGTCTTCCTCACCTCTCCCTCAGCAGGGGCACTAACAGAGCTTCTCCTCCCGACAGGGCTGGGTTTGGTCGTGGAGCTCAGAGAAACGCAATACCATCGAGATCCCTGTCCCTCTGCCAAATCTGACTGTGGGCTGGCAACAGGTTCAAAAGCTGCTGGGAGGAAGGGTGGGAAAGGAGGGAAGGAGAGAGGATGCAGACGCAGACACACCCGAGCACAAAGGCACAGTGATCACATATGCCTCCCTGACGTTAAAAGGAAAAAAAGTTAAAAAAAAAAAAATCAGGCTGAGGCACAGATCTGGTTAAAAAAACTCCAACTCCCACAGCCTTGACAACAGAGTAACTATAGAGACGTGACACCATCGGGAAGTGCTTTGCAGGAGCACTTAAGGGGCTGAACACCCACTTTGCTACACAGAAGTCCAGACAATTTTGGTCTTTGAAGAGTGGTTGAAGTCCCACAGGGGCAAGGACAAGGACTTTGGAAAAGGGACAGACAGGGCCAGCTTCTCTAGGCTCCTGACTGCTGGGGGATAGAGCAAGATTAGAGAGGAGAAGACAATGAAGTAACTTGAAGAGAACAGCTGTCCAGACAAAGGGAGAGAAATGGAAGCAGACACTCTACTCTTGCAAGGCTGCTTGACAGCAACAGCAGGAGCTCAAACTCCCTGGAAGTCTGGCTCTCCAGGATGACTTCACTCCTGGGTACTTCATCCCTTTCTTCAGAAAAGCAGCAGCCTAATGAGAGGGAAGGAAGCCACCCAACGGGACAGAAGCTCTGCAACCTCTGTGAAAATGCCACGGGGCAAGCAAGTCTGGGGATGTAGGAAGGTGGGAGTGAACAGGGGAGCAACGAGTTATTATGACACAGGAAGATTTCAAAGAACAGCACCAAGAGGAAAAAAACCAAACAAATAAAGCCTCTAAAGAGGTCATGAGAGTTATGGCACCTTGTTCCAGGACCCCAGGTGAAAACAGGCACTTTGCACCTAAAGCCTCAGGGGAACTGCCCCGGGATATCACTGGTAGCTCTGTGGGGTGCAGGCAATCCAGGCAAGAGCACATCCCAAGGAATAGCAAGGACAGCCCACGTGGGACTCCACACTGCCAAAACTCAACTGCTGCCTGTGTTCAGGCTCTGGCTGGCTGAATGCTGGAATGAGGATATTGAGGATCTTTGCCTCACCCTGCTGTTACTTCTACCCAATAGTACTGGGATATCATGGAAACTACTACAGAGTGACCTTCCCAGTCTAGAATCAGTCTTAGTGGGAAGGCAGATGAAACAGCCAAAAGCAAACTCTAGCAATGACTGCTCCTATCCATCAAGTCCTGCCAAGTTTTAGAAACACAAACCAAATGGCCTCAAAAGCTGGGCAACTTCAGGGATGAACCCTAAACAGGAGGACTGGGGATAAGACTGGCTGGGAATGAGACAGTGAGACACGCACTGCATTTAGAGATGACTGCAGGGAACCCGCTCCCAGAAAAAGGGGACTGCCACAGGTAAAGCAAGATGTCAGAAATCCAGTGGGACATATCTCAGAGATTAGCAAGGCTGCCACTGCTCCATTGGCAGCTCAGAAGCAAAAAGCAGCACAGAGAGGACTCGAGGAGTTTGCAAGCAGCTTGAGTTTGTAACACTCCCAAACAGCAGCAGGGACAGCTTTTAGGAGTCAACAATAAGACCAAATCCATGCACTTGGAAAACATCCCCCTTCCCCCAGGCTGGCAGGGAAACTGGCATTCCTCTCCAGGGTGGGCAAACAGCTGTGGTCAGAGGACAACCCCTGTTGCTTCCTTGCACTCACTCCCAGCTAATCTGCCTCGACCAGCAGCTGAAGCCCACAGCTAATCCTGCCCACAGGATCCCCCCGCACAGCTGTCATTCCCTGCTGGAGGGGATGCTGCTCCCGTTAACACTGGCTTCCTGTTATTCTCCCTGGCTTCCTTTGAAGAGCCTATTTATCTGTCTAATAGCTAATGAGCAGAATACAACAACCTATTTTTTGCACTGTTTAAAGATTTTTCATGGGGATGTTTCCTGCAGAGATTCTTTTCTCCAGCCCATGACAAAGTTCAGCTGGCGGCTCGCTCGGAAAGGTTCACGTTTAAGGCAGAGCCTTGCAGAGAGAAAAGCTTTGCCTAGAACTGGGCCATGGAAAGGGGATAGGAGAGTGTTTCCGATAGTCACGTTGCAGAGCACACAGGTATTTGTGGAGGGAGGCTCACAGCCCTGGCCCCTTTGATCAGCATCCCTCTGGATCGGTGGGAAACACTGCAGGAGAGCTGTGGAGCAGGATCAGCCTTTTTGTTATTAACAATTCAAACTCAGACCTAGTCCAAGGAAAGATGAGATCATGCCAGCCAACATCATTTCCAAAATTGTGCTGGACTGTCCCCTAGACGTGACAAACTCCGAACCAGCCTGCAATGGACAATATTCACTGGGTGTTTTGAGATCTTTCACAAGGCTCTAGAGAGATTCAAGACCTCTAAGGAGAGACAGATGTACTCATGGAAAAGAATGTCCCATTTACACTGGGATGCATCTTTCACCCTCCCACAGGTTGTCTGCTCACATTCACCAAAGAGTTTGGGATTGCTGCCCACATGTTGGAGCACTGGCTGAGAGGGCAAAAGGCTGGAATGTTCCTTCACAAGTTTGGCAGGAGAAAACAGGAAAGAAACAGCTGCTGGTACCAGCTCTGGTGGTTCATAGTGTACTGCTCAAAGCCACAGCCTCAGCTGGGCTTCCAGGTGCTCAAACAGGCCACACTGAGCACACCTGCCAAAGCATTCAGCTAAGAAAGCTCCCCACCTCACCCAGGACACCGTTACAAAAACTAATCTTAAGGTCACTAAGAATAAAACCACGGATGCAGCTGTGATGCTCACATTTGCTCCAACCACTTCCCTTTCCTGTCAGCACTGGCTGATCGTGCAGTTGATTCACAATATTGCTCACTTATTGCTTCAACTGGCAAGAAACCAGCACATGTCCCTCCCTAAAGCCTGGGGGAGGATGCTCAACTGCGTCCTGGGGTGATGGGAGAGGTGCTGGTAAAGGGGAAAGATGGATGGAGAATTTTCCAGAGCAGCCATTCATTCAGGGTGTGTAATTTGGGATCTCCCTGCATTTTCCAGGGATGAAGTGCACGCATTCCATCCCTGCCCCTTTTCTAAGCTCCAGCTGCTCAAGCACATCTGGAGCAAAAGAGGGCAGGAGTCATCTTGGCAAATTCTGAGCTGTACCCCCAGCGAGCCAAGGAGAGAGGAGGATGGAAATCAGGTCTCAATCCTGCTATTAAGCCCATCCCTTCCTCGCTGGGAGGAAGCAAGCCAGGCTCGCACAGCACAAGTGCAGGGAATATTCTGCTGCAGCATTTCGGTGTTGTGTGGGGGCTGCAGGCTCTCACAAGCAGCTTGTGTGGGGCAGCGTGCCAAGGTAAAGCAGCTGGCACTCCAGTTCCAGAGGGAACAAGGGATTCAAGCAGGACGGTTGGAATCATAAAAAGGCCTTTTTTACGCAAGTGGTCTCAAATGGTTGTGGGTGGGGGGAGTTTCCAGCTCTGAGGGCTCTAGCTCACGAGCTGTGAGCTCTGGGGGTCCTGTGATGATGCTCCTTAAGGGAATCCTGCTGCCTGCACCCAGCTCCGCAGGTTTTCCCACTCTGGGCAGCACCAGAAGAGCAGCAGTTGTGCCACCCCTCAAAGCACTGCCCGGCATGGCAGCAGACAGCACAGCTCTGTAGGGTTGTCTCACCCAGAAGGAGGCCCCCTTACCCCTGAGCACACAAGCAAAACCCCAGCACGGGCAGGGAAGCACCCTTACCTGTATCCTGCCGGAACTGCGTCAGGCTTGGAATGTCGATGACGTAGGGAGCCAGGACGGGATCCGCACGTCCCAAAGGGATGCTGCTGACGAGCCCCGACCCCGAACGCCGGCCCTTCTGCTGAGAGGCCTGAATAACCTGCTCAATGTAGCTGCAGACATTCCCTCGGTACGGCCTCCACCTGCCAAATTCATCCTGCCATTCCCACACCGCCACTGCCGTGGAGTTGCTGCCGTGCCCCGGGGCAGGACTGGGGAGTCCGGATGGCCCGGCTGAACTGCTTCCCGCTCCCTGAGCTGCTGCCATGTTCCTCCCTGAGCTCTGGGCACGACTGGAAGTGGCAGCTGCGCTGGCTGGCCGGCCTTACACCATTTTCTCCTGAGGACCTGCAGCGAGAAACAAAGAGAGCACACAGAGCTGAGAATGATGCCCCAAATCCCCCCATCCTTCATCCAAACCACACGAGTCATTTGAGAGGGAAACAAGCTCTGACTTTCACAGAGGACGAGTTTAGGAGAATACAGAGCAGCAGACTGGCCCCAAAACCCTCTGGCTGAGGGTGAGTGAGGCACCACCACCCACTCCCTGCTAGTGCTGGCAACTTTTGTTGCTTATTTTGTGGCACCAAACACCACCTGAGTCATCAGAGCTCTGTACCAAACCACCCCGAGCCACTGCTGATTGTGTAAGGGAGACCTGTAAACCCTGAGTTCAGACAGACACTCACTAGCCAGGAATGTGCCAAGGCAAGAGGCCATTCCACCCTCTTCCACATGCTCAGCACCGCTCCTGGCAGCGTTGTGCTCCAACCACCCTGTCGTGAGCTGCCAGATGCTCCCCAAACACTTGAGCACAGGAATGACTCGGTTACACAAGTGGTTCCCACGCTCTTCTCACTGATCTGAGAAGATCCTCCAGGGCTACACCATCAGCTCCATTCAGGCTTCTGACAACTCAGCTTTGATCCAGGATCAGTCCCATGACTCTTTCTGTGTAGCACTGTACGTGCACACAAAGCCAGAAGACAATCCTTCATGCACAGTTTGCAAATCACAGCACATACACTTCTAGCTGAGTGTCATTCCAAAAATGGATGGGAAGAAGTACAGGAACACCAGGAGGAAAACAGGGTGCTGAGGGCAGTCTGTGCTGAGGGCAGTGATTTAGTAGCTCCTCAAGATCAGAGCTGCAGCTTCTCAGGTTGGAAAACAAGGAATAATCTCCATCAAGGACTCAAGCCAGAGATTTAAGCCCTTAAGAGATGATTTGGGAAAAAAGAGAGAGCATAGTAGGAGCCCTAAGACATTCAGAGAAAGACACAAAGGCCAGTGAATAAATTTCAACAACAAGAGATCACCACTTTTAGCCCCCAAGGGATGTAAAAAAGCAGACCCAAAGCCATCACATGGTCACCAAGCTGCCTAAAAGACACCAGAGGTCTGATATTTGGCATTCCTTGTCCATTGTGTCATTCCAAGGAACCCTGTCCAGACCATCTGGACACACATCTGTCCCAATGCTGGACCGACATTGTAGATCCCCACGCTGGTGCTCGTGTGTAGGTGGGTATGGCTGTGAATGAGTGAAATTCATTTTGTTTTAAAATAAAGTCGCCTTCTCCCTCCTCAGGTCTCACGTCACTGATTGCTCGCTTAACTCCCAGCAGTCAGCAGGGAGCTGTGAGCTTCCTTCCCATCAAATGGAAAAGTTCAGGTCTCCCAAGAGGCAGAGCAGCAGTGGGTGGCTTCCACTGGAGGATGCCATCTGCACAGAGAATGACATCCCTGCCGGATGGGGGAAGATCCCACGCTCCGTGGAGCGTCCCATCCATCATGCCCGTGTGGCTCGCTGGCTCAAAAAAGACACAGAAGAAGAGCGAGCGCAGAACAGACACACCCACACGTCTGCATTTATAAGAGGAAAGCAACACTTTCTCCAGGAATTCGGTGTAAATTAGTTCATGAGCTGCTCAGAGATTTTTACACCACACCCCCAGCTCAACTGGTGCTGGTGACAAAGCGCTCCAGATCACCAAGACCCAACCCTGGTCTCTGCTACCAATCTTTTCCTTGTAAGCCATTCTCCCCCAGCACACCAAGGACAGCTATTTTGCTGCTCAAACCAGCAAATTAAGGCTTAAGGTATCAAATCCAACACTTGCCTCTGACACTTCTTTTTATGGCAGGTTTCACACCAAAACTTCTCCACCTCAGGGACCACCAGCACGTCTGTGCTCAGCTTGGACTCGAGTGAGGCAAAGCCAGGCTGCAGGATTTTCTGTCCCACCCACCTGAACCCCAAATACAGAACCAACACCTTTTCTTCCCCCAAAAGTTGCTGCCCAGTATTCATCAGCACACTCTGCAGCCACAGGCAGAACAGAGGGAGGCCATGAAGAGGGAGTTGAATCGTTTTCCTTTCACTTCTGAAACACAGTAGCAGGAAATGGAAACAAGGAGACATCCCAGAAAAAAAAAACACAAACACACTTCCTCCCTGTGCCACAGGGATAACAGCTGGGTGCCAACAGCCTGTTGCTCACCCCTGGGATGGCAGCGATGCTTTGAATCCTGGACCACATGCAGGGGTACCCGGACCGGCTGCACGTGAGCGTCGCGTGCTCCAACATCCACTTCCCCATCAGGACGGAAAAATATTTCCTGCGCTGGGACTGCTGGTCCAGAGGAGGAGCGAGGGGCGTATTTCAGCCTCCTGCAAGTTCTCGCTGAACGCTGCTTGAGCCAGCAGCTGTTTGCACGGATTGGGAAGCGAGGAATGTGGGAGAGCCTCAGTAAACCAAAATTACACGAGTCCCCAAGTTAAGGCAAACAAGGGTAAGAAAAGGCCTGAAGTTGCAGTTCCTGAGTCCTCCCTGAGAATTCAGGAGCACACAAATATTAAAAGTTGAGAAATTCAATACTGGAGCTGCTCATACAGCTTTCAGACCACCCCCTTGGGCTGCCCTGTGCATTACGCCGTGGCAGAAAGGGTTTGAGGCAGAGCAGGACTTGGTTTGGGATGTGTTACACACCTCACCTTACATCTTTGCTAAAATTCCATGAACTAGAACAGTTCACCTTGACTTTTAAAAATGCCTTGAAAAGCTGAAATTCACACCAACCCTAAAAGCTCTGTTTATTCAGCAAACAGTCCTGGCTCCAGTCAGAAATCCTATGGCCCAACTTGCCCCAAGTGAAAACTAAACCCTGTGCAAACTTAAATATTCTGGCCAGCTGCCCTTCACTTCAGAGGTAATTTGTAACATGGGCTCAGAGCTTGAGTTTGGATTTGTTTGGCTGAAACATTTGCCCACATGGCTTTAATCGGAGACTTGGACAGGAAAAGAACTGGGTGCATTTCAGCTGTGTTTCCCAACAGCTTCACTCCCTGCTCCTCCAACTCCAGCAAATGGTGCTGAGAAAGCAGGGGAAAGGGAATTAAAGCCTTTGAAAGCCATGTTTAATTCTGTTCTACTTCCAGAAAGCAGAATTTTCTTTCACTTTAAATGCAGGATCTTAAAATTCACGGGTCTGAGAATGATTTCTAAAAATGCCAAGTCCCTTTTTAAGTTTCTGAACTGAAATTGCCAGCGCTGATAAAAGTTTAAATGAAATGTGATCTTGTACCTGGAAATGAAAAGAAGCCTCGGGAGCCCAAGAGCTGGGCTGAATTAAAAATAAAAATCACCGGATTGGTAGAATTCAGACTTTTCAGCAGGTTGCTCAGAAAAGAGGGTGGCCAGCAGGGATTTGTTAACACCACTTTGAGAGACAGGACTGGGAGGGCAACAAAGATCCCATGGGAAGAGATTACACAGGGATTAGAGGAGCACATAAAGCACAGGGAGGCCACGGGACTGCAATAAGACGTAACCCTGTGCAGGGTGCACGACCAGAGCAGCTTTACATGTGCCCTGTGCCCCTCTGACCCCAAACCACCAGCCAGAGCCCCACCAGCCCCTCACACCAGCTGAGCCGCACTTCTGGGTGCAGCACAACCCAAATTGTGAACACAGTGATGCAACAGGCCTGGATGCAACAGGCCTGGAAGCTCTCGCCAGGTAACTCACACCTAAACAAACCTTTCCACACACGAGCTCCCGGCTCCGATCGGCAGCAACCAAAGAGTGAGAACAGAGCACGGCAGCAGGGAGGGGACCACAGCAATAACTCCCAGCACAGATTGATCGGTCCTGCCCTCTCCCAGCCTCAGCTGATCCTCAGGCACAAGGTGGCTGGGCTGACAACCGAAAGAAGAAACAAACCCGGCTGCTCCAAACCTGGACTGCTTCCATTCAAAACAAGCTCCAAGAGAGTTCCTCTCAGAGAGGGGAAAACAGAGACAGCAACTGAGACGGAAACAAAGCGTCTGCCTGTCAGCTAAGCAGAGGGCTGGCTCCGGGCAGGGGTGAAAAGGAAAGCTGAGGCAGCGAGAGGAGGGAAGGTACACCTGGACACGGGATCACACCAAACAAACCCTGCGTCCGACCCGCCCGCTCCAGGGTCCTGCCGGGCACCGAGGCGCGTTATTTATCTGCGGGCAGACCGCTGACTGGCGGGGTGCGAACGTGGCACGACCCGGAGAGCTCCTCCAACTCCCCAAGGGCTTCGGCTCGCACCGGGAGCTCCGGGAAGGGCCGAGCCAGGTCCTGCCTGGGGGGGTTGGTGGCAGGGGCCGCCCGCCCATCCATCGTGGAGCTCCCCCGGCCCCGGGGACCCCGGCAGCACCCGCACACCCCACCGCAACCGCCCCCCGGCTCCGACCCGCCCTCCCCGCTGTCCCGGGCCTGTCCTGGGCCACCGGGGGCCGGGCGGCACCTCCCGCCCCGGCAGCGGTGGAGGGGCCGCGGGGAAGGCCCCGCTGCCGGCCGTGCCCCGCTCCGAGCGGCCCGGGCAGGACGGGCCGGGCTCGGGGCGGCCGCAACGGCCCGGGGAGGCCCCTCACGGACGGCCCGGGTGGAGCGGCGCAGGGAAGGGGGTGCCCGTCCCGCGCTGCGCTGCCCAGCCCAGCCCAGCCCAGCCCAGCCCAGCCCGCTGCCCTGCTCAGCCACCTCCGTCCCCTCACCCGCTCGGGCCGGTCCCCCCGGTCCCCTCACCCGCTCGGGCCCCGCCGCCGCTCCCGGTGCGCGCTCCCGCCGGCTACGCGCGTGCGCCCGCGCGGCCGCCCGGGGGCGTGTGAGGGGGCGGGGCCAGTGAGGGGGCGGGGCCAGTGAGGGGGCGGGGCCGCGAGTGAGAAAGGGGAACGTGATTGGTGTAGGTGTGTGAGTGACAGTGGGGGGGTGGAGTCGTGAGAGGGAGAAATTGTGTGAAATTGTGTGAAATTGTGTGATACTGAGTGTGTGTGTGAAATAGCGTGTGTGATAGTGTGAGTGTGTGATAATGTGTGTGTGATAGTGGGAGTGTGAGTGAAATAGTGTGTGATGATGTGTGTGTGATAGTGAGAGTGTGTGTGATACTGTGTGAGTGAAATAGTGTGTGATGTGTGTGATGAGTGTGAGTGAAATAGTGTGTGTGTGATAGTGTGTGATAATGTGTGATAGTGTGTGTGTGTGAAAGTGTGATAGTGAGTGTGTGATAGTGTGTGATAGTGCGTATGTGATAATGTGTGCATATGAAATAGTATGGGTGATAAGGTGTGAATTTGATGGTGTGTGATAACGTGTGTGTGATAATGTGTGTGTGAGATAACGTGTGTGATAGTGTGTGATGATGTGTGTGTGTGATAACGTGTGTGTGATAATGTGTGTGTGAGATAACGTGTGTGGCACAGTGGGGTGTGTGATGTGTGATGGTTTGTGTGTGTGAGTGTATCTGACAGTAACCATGCAGGAGTGTGACGCTGGGTGTGAGTGTGATACTGTCCACATGAGCATGTGTAACACTGGGTGTGTGAGATACTCTGTGTGAGCGTGGTACCCTGAGAGTGCAACAAGGTGTGAGTGTGACACCGTGTGAGGGTGACCACGCGTGTGACAGTGTGTGATGGGGTGCATCCTCTAATGCAGTTTAACTGGATGCTGTGGGGGCTGCTTTCCCCACGCTGCCTCGTCCCGTGGGGATGTGGATGTGACCACCAGAGCCAGATCCAGCCTGGATCAACCAGCTGCTCAGTACAGCCCTGAGGATTTCATTTACATCCATGTAAATCCAAAGCAAAGCCCTGGAGAAGCCTGTTCCTTGTATGAGCAGTGATGAGGGTGGTTAAAGATAACCCTGTGTGTGCAGATCTCCCCAAGAATAGAGCGCTGCTTCCTCCCAGCTGCTGCACCTCCAGCACCCCCCTTCCAAAATAGGTGTTTATTTAGGGATTCCTTTAATCCTGGAACACCTTGCAGAGAGCTGGATCACTCCTTCATACTCTGTTAGAGGTAGGTCAGACCCCACCTGGATTTTTCCCTTGATGGACACAGAAGTCAAAATCCCACTGAGACACTGGCAGCAATGATCACAGAACCATAGAATCATTTAGGTCAGAAAAAAACCCTTAAGATCATCATAATTCTTTCAAAACCAGGAAGCATTCACCAGTCCTTATCAAATGACTTTAAACCTCCCTGGACTTTACACCCAGCAACACTGATTCACCCATAACATGACACACCTGCCCCAAAGGCTTGTAAAATAAAGGGCATTATTCTTGGACTGAATAGTTACAGCAAAAATAACATACAAAGCCACTTTATGCTGTAGAAATGGAGAGATATTCTAAAACTCTTCTTCCAGGGCTGAACACATGAGAATTATCTTCACAGAGCTTATATAAGGTTGGTTTTCTGCCCAAAATGTATGGCACCAAGCATATAATTGCAACAGCTTTGGTGAAAATCCTCTGAAGCTGCATCCCCCCCCCCAGCTCAGCCTTGTATGTAAATGCCCATGGATTTTTCTGTTCCAGGATGGATGAGACTGTCACATACTTGAGTTCAAAATACTCACAAAGAACTAATAATTGCCAAAAGTGATTGATAGCCTGCTCATAATGTGTCTGCTCAAGCAATAAGATTCACATTTACAACTCAGGTGCTTAGGATTCCTGTCTCCTACGGCTGTAATTAGTAACTGGAGAGCAATGCAAAGGTTTTTTTTTTTTTTTTTCCTGAAAAATAGATAGGAATGCTTTATAAAGCTGTGCTGGGAGCAGGCTGCGTGATCCATGTGGCTGCATGGGTGGACAGGTGGCTGTGGCTGAGCTGTGGGAATAGCATAGAATTGCATTGGATTTATTTTAATTTTTATTTTGGAGCAAGGATTTGTGACCTGATCTTGCATCAGGGTCCCTGGAAGGCTCTGCCAGACACGACGGATGGCTGAGGTGCCTCCTCTCAGCAGCACAAGTATCCCTCAGCCACCCTTTTCCCACACCCTTCCCTCACTTGTCCTGTGTGCCACGATGGTCCAATAACCCGAAAGGGTTTAGCAGAACTCAGGCACCACGTACAACAGGAGTCTGGGGTCTGTCAGAACCCACTGCACAAATTCCTCCAACTGTTCTGTCTGAAGAACACCTGTGAAGATGCTCTCTGAGCCTGAAAGTGAAACTCTGTGTCCTGCTCTCCCTAAGGACTCTATTTTTTACAGGGATGTAGACCTCAAAGTCCTGACTGCCTGCTAAAATATTGGATATTATATTTTATATTCTTTTTACCTTAATGATCCACAGATTTTAACACAGTCCCTTACGGATTTTTTTTCAGCTTTATCCCTTATTTCCCACGTTCTTCTTTCCCACACCCTTCTCTGCATGCTCCACAAATTAGTATGCAAAGCAGGGAGTCCTCTAACATGGGATCAGCTCCTGTCTGATCCATCCACACACACTGGGGTAATCACTCAAATATTTTTCTTCCCCCCTTTTCTTTTCCTGTAGCGGGGCTGGAAGGCTGTTGAATTAATTTCTCCATGGCTGCTCCATCTCAGGCGGTTTTGACTCAAGGTCCTACACTAATGTCTATAAAACCTGATGCTTGAGGCTCTGTTAAATTGCCAGGCTTAGCCTGGTGCTCTGGGGAATAGCCTGGCCACTTAGGAAACTGCCTGTCCAAGCTCTGCTGGGATTGCTGCAGCACTTTGAATTCACAGCCCACTCGATTTCAGATTAATTTCCCTGAGCAGACAAACACAAAGTGACAGGAATTAGGAAGAAATTCCTCTGCAGGCAGAGGATAATATGTGAAATTTCGTTTCATTTTCCTCTGCAGCAGCTGCTGCTGGTTCTTGCTGGGGACTGATTAGACAAAGAAGGGGTGGGTCTGGTGTGGACATCCCACTCTTGCTGGGTGTGTGTGACATCTTCTGGTCCAGGCCTTGGGATGTTTTTCTACAATTCTACCTTGAAAGGAAGACTAAACACACTAATGGAATTTAGAGGGATTGATATGGAATGGGGTAACAGAGTTGGGTGTGTGTAAACATTATGCTACAGGGAAAGGGATATAATACAGCTACAATAAAATCCACATTCACTACATAACTATTTCTAAAATCTACAAAAATTAAAAACCAAAAAAGCTCTGAGGCATCAGTTGGAAGGGAACTTAAAGGTCATCTTGTTCCAGCCCCTGCCATGGGCAGGGACACCTTCCACTAGACCAGGTTGCTCCAAGCCCTGTCCAACCTGGCCTCGGACACTTCCAGGGATGGGGCAGCCACAACTTCTCTGGGCAACCTGTGCCAGGACCTCTCCACCCTCACCATAAAATATTCCTTCCTGGTGTCACTGAAATTTGCCCTCCCTCACTTTAAACCCCTACCCCTTCTCCTCTTATACAGACCTTGGTCAAAAGTCCCTCTCCATCCCTGCCTTTGCTAAATCCAGCCACGAAACTCTGGAGCCCAGTCCTCTGGGTTGAGTGCCTGTCTCCTCTGCTCTGGCCACCCTCCTCTCGCTATTAGTATTAATTATGGACAGGACAAGTCCTGCTTTGCCTTCTGCCTGCTGTGCCCACCTCGCCGGCGGGTCCCTGGGTGTTCCCAGCGGAGCTTTGCTCTCCCTGCCCAAACCAAACACCCCTCTCGGCTGCCGCAAGCGCCTCTCCCTGAAAGTGGTTGCCACCTAGTGCACGCTCGGCCGCCTGGCAGCCGACAAGCGGATCCATCGCTCCGGAGCTTTCCTGGAACCAAATAAACGTCTAAAGGTCCCTTGCAACCCAAGCTGTTCGTGGAGTGTCAGGCTCGGACACGGCATCTCCACACAGGTTCCTCCTGCCCCAGCAGGAATGTCCCCAGCGATGTCCACCTCGTCTGTCCTGTCAGCCTGCGTGTCCCCCTACAGGTCACCCCTTCCCAGCCGCACACTCGGGCGTGGTTTGGGCTCTCTGGAGTGTGTTTAAGAGCGCTGAGGCTGCAGCACACCCGTCTCACACCAGCGATGCTGCAGCAGAAGCGCGGATGCCTGGATTCCCCAGGGCTGGCAGAGGAGCCAGCAAGTGCTGGTCCCGATGGACACCTGGTGTATGTACATAAATATATACACATATATATAAATACACACACACATACATAAATCTGGCTGCTGTCCCGGTGGATCCCACTGCCAGGAGTCCGGTGCAGGGTAAGGTTTCACCCCACGGAGATAATGACACACAGCAAAGGCAGGGAGTTACAGACATACCCTAAAGCTCATGCCCACAGCGAGTGCCTTTGCTGTGACCAGCGTGGGTGATGGAGAGGACCCAGCTGCCCGTTTCCCATCCCCTCTTCCCCGCTGTGATCCGTGCCTGCTCCTCCGCAGCTCTGGATGCCGGCCGGAGCCCATGGAGTGGGTCGGCTGCCCTCTGGAGAGCCTCCTGTCAGCGCTGCGTCCTTGGACTGCTCTTTCTCACCTGGCTGAGGTGGTTTCTGCAGCACGTTGGGCAGGAAGCAGATTACGGGGAGGAACAAAGGTGATTTTGTCTGGGGAGGGGATGGGTACCTCTCCCTCAGCTCCAGCTTGCTGCAGCTGAGTGCAGTGCTGGGGCTGCCACTGCCCTTTCCTCAGTCCTGCCCTTCCTTCAGGACTTATAAACCGCCAGAAAATGCCTTAAACTTAGCACAGAGGTGTGTTAGGAGGACAGTTCCAGTTGTACTGAAGCAGAGCTACATGTCAGGACAGGAAACCAAAATGCTCTTGTACTGCATTTACACCTTTCCCTTCTCCTAAGGCTGCTGGACAGAGGTTGGTTTGGGAGTGAGAGCTCCTCTCCTGGGACCCCACATCCCAGGATCCCATCTGCTGCTCGTGCCCCGGAGCAGCAGGAGGAACGGAGGAAGGAGGGGTGGCTCATCCCATTGCAGGTGCAACATCCTTCTTGCTGCTGCTCCCCAAAGCTCGAGCGGCAGCAGGAAACTCCTAAGTACTCGGTGATTTAGCTCAGCAATCAGCAGGGGAATCCTGTCATTCATTATAAGCCGACTAATGGCTCACAAGAGCAACTGGTGTCCTGAGGATGAGCTCAGTCCCATCCTTCCCTCCTGACAGCAAGAAAATGCCTTTTGTTTCAGCTTATGGCTTTTTTGTATGGTACCAGGTTCTTCTTTACCCCCCCAAAACACTTCCTGGCCATTTCATAGGACATACAAACAAGTTTATCTCTCCTCTCCGTAGTTTCCCAGCTAATCCAAAAGGAAAATCTGTTTTTATTATTATATTTTTTTGGAAGCTCCGCGTTTCCTGCAGATTTGTGAGCCACTTGTTTTCCCCAGCTTCCACTCATGACCGAGCTGCTGCCAGGAAACAGATCTGCTGGAAATGCCACCTGCTGCCATAGGAAGCTGTGGTAGGTGCTGCCTGTGGCACGTGGCAGATGCTGAGTGGATGTGGGGATGGCCCTGAACCCCCCATAAGCCCCTCTCCTGTGAGCATCACTGATGTCTCTGAGTGTCCCTGCCTGATTAGGCAGCAGGACCATCACGAAGCACAAAAAGAGCTTTTTTTCCCCTGGCACGCAAGAGAACAGCCTTGCTGTCCTGTGGAATTTTATAATTAGCCTTTCTTATGTTGTGGCTGCTCCTTGAATAAGGCTGGCTGTGTTTTCTTCTCCTCAGAGCAGCATAATCCCACAGCCTGATACTGCCAAGCCACTCAGAGCACATGCAGGAAGGATGTAGACATGGAAAACATCTGAGATGGTGCTCAAATGGCCAGAGAAATCCTGGAGAGGGTGGAAAGCATCTTCAGGCTGGCTGACCTTATCCCTGCATGTCCACATGCAGGGCAGCTTACACTCCTGGTCCCCAAAGCCTGAGTGTGGATCGATGCTGGAGATGATGATTCCCAGTCCATGGCACTGGCAGACAGCCAGGACAGCAGGGAGTTTGTCGAAGTTTAGGCAAAACAGACTTAAAAGGCACCTTTGAAACTTTCACTCATGATCTGGGTTAATTAGAACTTTGCTGCTACTGGGGAATAAAAATGCCTAATTGCTAATTACTGGATCCCTACAAGAAGCAGCTGGCGACAGTTGTAGCCAGAGCTGGCTTTGTGAGGAGTTAAAACATGAAACACAGGCATTTTAGGGCATTTAAGGGTCTGGGCTTTGTGTAGGAATGAGTAAACAATCCAGCAGCAAAAGCCACGAGGCAGGTGCTGCCTCCTGTGAGAACAAATCCTGTAGCTCGTAAGATCAACTTGTTCTAAGCCAAAAGCACACCAGGCTCCTAAAATTGCTGGGAAGCCTAATATTTCATGAGACTGGAAGACCCAATATGTTTGGAGGTTCTTTTTCCATGATTCTCAAGCCTGCTGAGTCCCAAGAGTCTCACGTTACTCGGCTTTTACTTGTAATGATGGTTAAAATGCTTAAAAGGCTATAATGGTTAGAAATTACTAAATGCACACAATTTAAAATAAAGAGATACCCTGGCTGGGAGCTGAAGGAGACAATGTGAATGTGTAGAGCAGGAGGTGGTGGAGGTGGATGGGAAAAGTTTCCAGCACAGGACATCCTTCACTGCAGGCTAAGAGAGCAAGGACATGGCAGGTCCCTCTAATGTCCTCAGCAGAGCTGCCTTGGACAGCCAGGAAGGAAAAATCCTGAAAAAAGGGGCCTTTAAAGATAACTTCTTGCCCAGGAACAGGCAGGGAGGACCATGGTTCATCTGAGGAGCAGGTTTCCAGATCCCCCAGGAGGGGCAGGAGGTTGGGACCATCCCCTCCTGTTGCATCCCAGTGCTGGCTCAGGCATCGACAGAAATATTTCCAGCCAGATGGTTATTTCTGACTTCCTCCCCAGGTGGGCACTCAGACAGCTGAGGAGGGAGGTGGGAAGGAGCTGAAAAGCCCAAATCCTCTGAAAAAGCTTCTCCCTTCCCCTGAGGCGTAACCCAGGCTCTGCCAGCACCCAATTTAAGGATGTGTCCCTGCCTGCCTCCCTGAAACCCGAGCCATTCCCTCCCCGCCATGTCTCCTTAGCGGTCTTCCCTCTCTTCCCTTCTCTCTCCTTCTTCTTCCTCTTCTCCCTCTCTTTCTCCTTTGCTTTTGGAATGATCTACCCCAGGATGGGATGCAGGGCTGCCATCCTGCTGTAACCCAGCAGCAGCCACCCCAAAGGTGCAAAGAGATGACGGGCTGGAGCTGTTCTGTTGATGGATGAGATCCTTTTTCTTCTCTCTTTTATTATTTTTTTTTAAATTTTCGAAACAAGATCTCACCTAAAGAAAAAATTCCTGCCTTATCTCCATCACCTCTTACCGAGAATATTCATTTCAACAATTATTTTTAAATTTTTTTATAACTAGCCAGCTCTTTCCTTTATTTCAAAAGAGAATAGGTATTTCTGGGATTCGATATACTCACCTTTACACTGGAGAGAAATTATCAAAAAGGTATGTGGATTTATAATGCTTTTTTTTAGGGCAGGGTGGTAATTATAAAAAGTGATCTGGTGGGGTGGCAGCGGATGAAAGACTGATTTCTCCTGAAGTTACTTGAATATTGAAAAGTAGAAGAAGTGACAAATAGAAAGCAGAGGCTCATTGCAGCTGTGGCCAAGGGGTACCAGAGGAACCAAAGGGGACTGAAGGACCTGTAGGGTCTCATGTCCAGGTGGGAGGAGGGAGTTTTCACCATGGGCAAAATGCTGATGCAGGACAGTGAGTCTGCTGTGGAGCATTATTTGGGGTGAAATCAGGGACTTTCTGTGCCCCACATTAGAGCCCTGGTCCTCCCCTGTGAGTTTTGCAGCAGCCACAGCAGGCAGTGCTTGTGTAGGGTGGGGGTGATGTGGGGTTTGCTGCTCCTGCCCTGGGGTGCATGATGGGGGGTGGTTTTACAGGACACATGTAAACACCCTCAGTTTGAAGGGACTTCCAGAAACCCACATTCAGCAACCCTTAAAATCACAGAATGCTCACAGAATCACAGAGAGGTTTGGGTTGGAAGGTACCTTAAAGCTGATCTCGTTCCACCCCCTGCCATGGGCAGGGACACCTTCCACTAGACCAGGTTGCTCCAAACCCCATCCAGCACGACCTTGGAGACTTCCAGGGATGGGGCAGCCACAGCTCCTCTGGGGATGTTAAAAGGGATGTTTTGCTTTGCTGCAGCACCACGATGACTAATTATGGCTTAAAAGTAGTTTTTAATCTCTAGACGTTCTGAAAGGGCCCCAGCATCCCCTGGGTGCAAGGAAGGGTGTTCAGTTTGTAGCTGAACCCTCAGCACTGGGGTGAGGATGGAGAAGCAGGTGGAAGAGCAATGGACAGAGAAGGCAAATCAGGTTTTCCCTCTCTGGGGTCGGCCGTGGCACAGCACTGCAGTGGTTAATGCCCGCTGCCACCCTTCCAGGGAGCAGGAACGCGCTGGCTCCGGCACAAAAGTGGCCGGCGATGACAACGTCCCTGCGAGCAGGACGCGATGCCGGGGTTTGGCCGGGGCAGGGCGGCGGAGGGCCCGTCTGTCAGCCCTGCCCCTCCGGGGGGCGGGGAGGGCCGGTGGGACAAAAGGCGACATTATTCGGCGCTGCAGGAGGGATGAATGGAGTATTGAAAGCCATCACCTCAGCGAGTAGATTGGTTTTCATCCCCCATCACTGAGCCGTCTGTCTGCTGTCGGGTCTCCTCCTCTGGGCAGCGGCAGCTGAGCAGAGAGACCAGGGAGGAGTAACGGGGCCGTGTCCCACCCAAGGAGGTTCCATCCTGCACCTCCATCACCTCTGGCTGGTGCACGAAAAAACTCTTGGTCCGCCATCATCTCCCTCTGGTGCAGGCAACAAAGCCTTGATCTAGAGGCTCTGGAGCCCACTCAACCCACGGGCTTGAGGGACCTTGGCTGGGTGGACACCAGCACGTGATCCCGCCTGGGAGCTCTTCTCATCCTGTGCATGGGAAAACCAGGAGCAGGAAACGGCTGGATGAGGGGTTTCCATGGGAGGGAGGGTTTGGTCACTGGTACAGTGGATTTCAACGTGCTTTCCCGGGTTTCTGACCATCAGTAGATGACAGTAGTCGGTGTGCATCCCTTAAGGAGATGGTGTGCCTCGTGCAGGCTGGAGAGACTAATCTGAGGTCTCTGCTGAGCTGAGCCTGGCTTTGCGTGTGAGAGCATCCTCACGATGGCACTGCTCCACCAGCACACGCTGCCGTCAGGCCGACTGCTGGGACCGCTGGGATCAGGGTCTGGACTGCCAGAGGTGTCACGGCCAGCAGGACCAGCCCCCATCCCCCTCCCGAACAGTCTGTGAGTGACACACAGCTAGAAGCCCATCCCTTCGGCAGTGATTCCTGCAGGGAGCAGTAAATGAAGGGGAAATGGAATCTTACGATATTTAATCTCTTCCCCGTTTTCTGCTGACATTCCTGTTTGCTTTCCATCTTACACCCGTGGAGTTTGCATCTCAATCCCCCAGGTGAATCAAGTCGTCCTACAGACTGCAGAAATTACTGTCTTCCCACAGAAATGCCTGTCCCTGCCTTTTTTTTTTTTTTTTTTCTTTCCTCACAGGATGACAAAGAGCAGAGACAATAGAGGCCTCTGGCTTCCAGTTTCCTTTTGCGGGTGGGATGTGGCCCTTTCAGCTTCACCTTGCCACTCAAAAAATCACCTCTTGTTCTCAATAAATTCAATCAGAATTACTTTTCACCTGTCTTGTGGTCACTGCTCCTGGGAATACTGAAGAGGGACATGTTCAGGGGTCCTGCACGGTCCTTGGTGGGCACAGGTTCTTCTGGCCATCACCACTGACACTGCTATCTGCATTTTTCAGGGACAACCTCCTCTGGATACCTGTCTGCGGGAGGACGGTCGTGCAGCAATGACACTCGGTCCCTGTCTGGCCACCCGGCACGGCACAGGGGGGCCGGACATCGCGGTGCTGCCCCTTTCCTTGATGCCAGCCATGCTCCTCCTCCTCCTGCTGCTTCACACCCCCACCGGTGAGCTCCGCGCTGGGCGGTGTTTTAGGCACCCGCGATCTCCCTCCGGCTCTCAGATTTGTGGGCAGATTTTCTCCATGGGCAGGATTATCATGGTGTCCCCAGCAGCACTGAGGGTGCATAGGGATGGAGGGAGCAGGCCCAGCACCGATGGGAAGATGCTGATGGCCAAAGGATGCTCCTGGGATTGCTCCACAGGACCTGTGGGACTGATCCTGCCGAAGCGAGGAGTGGAATGAGCACCCACCCCCTCAGGACAAGGGTCCCTACTCACTCCTGGCAGGCTGGGAAGCATTTAAATCGAACTGGGAAAAGCCATTCCCGCTTTGGAATGAGGGTCCGCACAAGTGCTGAGGCAGCACAGTTATCCCGGTGTGACCGTACCCGTGTGATTACAGCCAGGCGGTGGGTAACACATTCCTGCCTCAACAAACCTGTGCCAGGGCACAGCCAGCCAGAAAACTGGGAATTCAGATGTAGTCAGACATCCTAATTGAGTTAGATCAGGTTTTGCCTTCCCACTCCCTCAGCTGGAACTTCCCGTGCCCCTCCCGAGCTGCTGTGGCAGCCCCAGCGCCCACACTCGACATGTGGGGACCCTGGGGGGACCCTGGTGGCTCTGCCGCTGTCCCCTACACCGCCAGGCTCTCCCGGTTCTCTTCATTAATGGGCAGAGATTAGTCGCTAACGAAGGGCGATTTGTCCTCCGTTTTGGTGGTTTTGTTTAGCACCGGTGTTTACTCGAGCAATTTCCCTTTTTCTTTTGGCTTTGTGAAGCTGGATCAGAGAAACACCGAGGGCTCTCTCTCTCTGTTCTCAAAGGATACCGTTTTCCCCTCGTTCCTCATTATGGTAGACACATCAGGCATATTTTTTTCAGATCTCTCCTGACTTTGCTGGAGGATGCTCTTAAATGAATATTTCAGAGCTTTGATTTTGACTTAAAGGGAAATGAATATTTATCAATGTCTTTTTATCCACTGCTGCTTCGGCACTGGAGTGGACTAGGTGTTAAAAATCAATACAAACCAGGATGAAAACGCTTTTCCTAGAAACCCTCACATCTCCACATTTTTGGTGCAGAGGTGAGCTGAGTAACCTCTCTCCTGTTTTCCAGCTCGCAGGGCTGCCATGTCCTTTCTTGTTCTCTCCTTCAGAGCCTCTCTGCTCCCTGCCTGTGTAATCCCCACTTCTTGCTGGCATCACAGCATCCCTTTCCAGCCTGCCCGGCCCAGCTGGGGAGGGCAGGAATGCCCGACCAGGGCTGGAGCTCCCTGGCTGCTGATGTTCATCCCAGCTACGGGCAGCATCCCTGCTAACTCATGGATGCATCTAGACAGTTGCCTTATTCTCATTTCTCTTGGGGCTTCTAGGTCTTTCTTTGACAGCCCTGTTTTCTAGCTGACTTAATGGTCTCCCAGGCAACATCCTAGCAAGGAAAAGGGAGGTGGGTTCATCTGCTCAGCTGTCCCCCCAGGCTCATGCTGCCTCTCACGGTGGTGACATCCGCCTCCGGAGCGGCTGGGATTGACCTTCACGTCACTGCTCGTGGGCTGAGCGTGAAGCAGGACAGGGTTGGTCCAAGGCAGGGTGAGAAAAAGAGGCCAAGGAGCCACCATGGGCGTTGATCAGCCCTTGAGTGCTGTAATTAGCATGGAGACATCACAGAATCACGGGATGGTTCGGCTTGGAAGTGATCTTAAAGCTCCTCTCGTTCCAAACCACCTGCCATGGGCAGGGACACCTTCCACTGGGTTTGAAAGGGTTTTGGAAGGTGTCACCCATGAGAGAGGGCTGTGCAGCCACAGCCTCAAGCCTGATGTGCTTCAGATGCCTGAGGAATCTGTGCTGGGCCCTGGCATCTGCCAAGAGCTTGTGAACTCCCAGGGCACCCACAGGGGCAGTGACAGGGATGTCCACAAGGTCCAGCCACTCATTCCCATCCACTGTCTGCTGGATCATGCTGTTGTGACCTCCTGGGCAAGCCAGAGCCCTCAGTGTCCCATGCTGGCAGCACCCTGGGGGGGACCCCACATCACTCAGCACTGGGGCTGACAAAGTTTTTGTGCCTAAATAAATGCCCAAACTGTGGGAGGGGTGCACAGCCCAGTGGGAGGAGCAGGATGCCAGGAGGAGCTTCAGCTTTCCCTTGGAAAGGGTCCAGGGGCTGCCGGGTCCCTGCCATGCCCACCCCATCCCTGCTGCCATCATCCTTCTAGTTCCCCATCCTCCAGGGGTTGGGGAGAGCTGATCCCTTCTCTTCTCCCTTGCAGGCACCACCTCTGAGCCCGAGCTGTTGCAATTCCCAGGTGAGATTCTTCTCTTAAAGTCACTTTTCTCCAGGAAGTTTCGTAGTTGAAAAATGCTCTTTTTTTTGGTAAAAAGAAAAAAAAAAAAGGGGGGGATTTGGGGAATTTCAAGAAGGAAGCGTATTGGTTTGGAATAAAAAGCAGCAAGAAGCTAAATTCATTTTACAGAAAGGAAATAGAGTTTCTTTATTATCCCTATTCCGCTTATTATCCTGAGAGGGGAATTTTGCCACCTCCTGCTGAGTCCCTGTCCCTGTGCCATGCGTCACACACAAGCAAATAATTCCCTTGACGTGGCAGGCCAGGAGCACTTCCATGCCTGCTCCCTGTCACCAGCAGCTTGAGGGATCATCTCCATCCCACCGACTCCCATATGGGATCAGCTCCAGATCCGTTTGTTGAGGCTCATAAGAGTTTGCTAATTGCATCTTGTCACTTGTCACCCATTGTATATCTACACGTGGTGCCTCACATCTGCTTTCCTCTTCTCCCGTTGGGTTATTGCCCATTAGGAGGTGAGATAACGGCACGATCATAGAGTCACACAGTGTTTTGGGTTGGAAGGGACCTGAAATCCCACCTTGTTCCAACACCAACACGACCATGGGCAGGGACACCTTCCACTAAACCGGGTGGGTCAAAGCCCTGTCCAACCTGGCCTTGATGTTGTTGCATCTCATTCATGTACTGAGATACGTTGAGTCTCCGTTTCCTCTGCTTCCAGCAGATGAAGGGAAAACCATGTCCCACCACCAGGTGGGCTTCACCAAGCCTTGTGATGCAGAGAAAGGTCACCATTTTATTTAAGGAGCAGGGATTTGGACTAGTTTTGCTCCCTGTGAGTGTGTTTGTCACCTCCTGGCCCGTTGCGTGCTGAGGGACCTCTCTCTGCCCATCCTCCCAGAGATCCGCCTCTCCAACGGGCCCAGCCGGTGCCAGGGGCGGGTGGAGATCCTCTACAACGGCTCTTGGGGGACGGTCTGTGACGATGACTGGGACATCGTGGACGCCAACGTGGTGTGTCGCCAGCTGGGCTGCGGCCACGCCATCACCCTCCCGGCCGCCATGACCTTCGGCCAGGGGAAGGGGCCCATCTTCCTGGACAACGTGGACTGCAAGGGCTGGGAGGCAGCTCTGAGCGAGTGCTGGAGCCACGGCTGGGGCATCCACAACTGCTACCACTACGAGGACGTGGCTGTCGTGTGCAATGGTAGTGAGGTTGGGTTCCCTGGGGGCAAGGAGAGCAGGGGGTTCCTGGGGGGCTGCAAGCCTTGGGGGGGGGTGCAGATGCTTTGGTGGAGCCCTAAGAATCATATCCCAGTCTCTGTTCTTCTGATCCTGGGTCAGCCAATCCTCCTCTGCATCTTCCTTCCACCCCTCTCCTCAATCCGGGTCACCTCCCAGCTCCACATGCTGGTGCTCCATAAGGTGACCAGCCTGTTTTGTGTTCCTTGTCACTCCCAGCTCAGGGACTTTGCGACCTCTCCAGCGCGATCCTTAGGGAAAGAGCACATGCTCACCCACATTCCTGCCTCTGAGTCAGTCGCTGCCCCGCTGCTCTTACCCCTTTTGACTCGTCTTTCTTTAAGTTGCTGAGCTTTTCAGTAGGAAATGTTCCTAAAGGTGAGAAAAGCAGTGGAAAGTGTTTGAACACGGCAAGTGAAAGTGGAACAACTCCGTGCCGACCCCTATGTACCCCACATGCTTTCCTCCTGTGTAGCTGCTTGGGGTTTGCTCAATCAGCCAGGCATCAGTGAGCACTGAACATGAGGCTGTGCAGACCCAGAGCAACTGCTCAGTGAATCCCTGTGACCTCCAGAAGCAGGGCTTGGAAAAGGAGGGATGGAAAGGCAGAGATGATGGGTTGGCTGGTGGGTTGGACCAGCAGCAACCAGAGAACAGAGAACATGGACTGAGCAGGAAATTGAGTCATGGGGCTGCTGGAGAGGAGAGGTGGAAGGGGTGACGAAGAAGGTCAGGGAGGTGGGTCCAAGGGCGCAGAAGTGGCTTGAACCCTTGGCAGAGAGCTCTGGGCAGGGCAGTGCAGCTGCAAACCCCTCTTTCTTTCCCCGTTGGTGCTGGTTTGGTGCAAACCCTCCTGGAGCAGCAGCTTCAGGGTGGAGCAGCAGCAGGTGCCACCTCTCTGCTTCCCTTTGCAGAGTTCTCACCCACACAAGCCAGCGAAGGACCAACCACCAGGACCCTCACAGCCTCGGTACAGGATGGGGAAAGTAAGCTGCTCGAGTGCTGCTTGCATGGGGGACATCCTGGCTGAGGGCAGTGTCCCCCACCGTCACCTGCTGCCCCTCTTGAGCCCCCCAACTCTCCAGCTCCGAGGGGCAGAACCCTGGGGACCTATCATTGCGCTGGCCATGGCCAAATCCTATCCCAGAGCTTTCCAAGGCTCCCAAGCTGTGCTGCCCTAAAGCACCACCCTCTCCCTGCTCTCCCTCACTCGGTTTCTTTGCCATCACGGGCGCTGCCAGGTCCAGGCACGGTGGCATCGCTGTGCCACGTGCAGGGACACAGCATCCTTCTCACCACGTGCTGCCACCCTCCAGGTGACGGCAGCATCCGTCTGGTGAGCGGGCCCGACACCTGCCAGGGCCGGGTGGAGATCTTCTACCGCGGGAACTGGGGCACCGTCTGCGACGACGACTGGGGCCTGAGCGATGCCAGCGTGGTCTGCAAGCAGCTGGGCTGTGGGCAGGCCCTGGATTACAAGAGCAATGCCTACTTTGGCTATGGGACAGGGCGCATCCTCCTGGACAACGTCAACTGTGATGGCAGCGAGCCTTTCCTCTCCGCCTGCTACAGCCTCGGCTGGGGCATCCACAACTGCGGCCACCACGAGGACGCCGGGGTCATCTGCGCAGGTACCAGGGCAGGGAAAACCCCTGGGACTTGCCAGTCTCCAAGGAAAAATGGACTCAGAGAGATGCTGAGGTGCCCAGGGTTGGCCAGAGACCAGGCTTTGGTGCTGTAGGAGCATCTTTGATCCTTATCCACCATCATCCTGGTGGTCTGGAGCAGGATGCAACACTGCACAGAGAGACTGGGACACGTCTGGAGTGGTGATTTGCAGGGGAAATGCATCTGCCATCCTGCCATTTCCCTCTGCCACTTCCCTGCTCTGCTGGTTGGAAAACAAGCTGCCTGCGTCCGGAAGGAGTAAGCGGCTGGGCACCATGCCAGGCCCAGCCTGCCTCCCCTTCCCCTCCTGAAATGATGTATTTCTGCCATTCTCTGATGATTACTGTTTATAATGTTAATAATCCCCCTGAATTCCCTCATTATCATGGCTAATGATGGGAGCAGTAAGTGCCAGTGCTTTCCCTTTCCCGCTATTAGGGGACAAAGAGGCTGATGCAGGAGAAAAGGGACAATTTTCTCAGGCTGGTCCTTTCCTCCCTAAACATCCCCATCCCCTCTGGCACCTCCCCTGAGCACTGAGCTGATGGCACCATCATGCATAGTCCTTGCTGAGAGGGGCAGAGGATAAGGCAGATTAAAGGGTAGTGAATCCTGATGATAAACCTCCCAGGTGCACGGAGAAGGAAGGTCCCATGCAGGACCCCAGCGCTTGGGCTGGGGTAGAGAAGCCCCATTTCCAGCACCTGGGCAGCAGGAATGTGCAGATGGACATGGTCCATCCTCATCCCCATTGCCCTGGAGCACTCAGACCACAGAATCAACTAGGAAAAAACCTCTGAGGTCATCGAGTCCAACCACCCTGGGTTTGCCTCCCACAGTCAGGATGTTCACAGCTGTGCAGCTTCTCCCTGCATGTCACCTCTGTCCCTCTGTGTCACTGCAGGGCTGGACACGTCCACCATCACATCATTTACCACCTCGGTGGCTCTGGACTCTGAGGAGACAGTCACAGCCACGGCCACAGGTAGGAGATCAGCACTCACTCAGCTGGGATCTCGTTGGGGGGCATCATACCCTCTGTGTCCTGCTGTGACACATCATAGTCACCCCGGACTCCTGCCATGTGTGGGTGACAGTCGGGAGGTGACACTGCCCACGGCAGGAGCTCACCATGGGGCAGCTCTGGTGCTGGTGGCTGCTGGCACCGACTGAACAGGGGCAGTGGGTGCTGGATCTGTCCCCCTCCAATGCCTGTGTGTGCCCACGCTTGTCCCAGCAGTGACAGATGGCAGGGACCAGCCGTCCCAGGCCACCGACGTGGTCACCACCATGCTCCTGACTGTCGAGCAGGAAAGTAAGTGCTCAGCTGCTGCTAGTCCTGCCCGGGGCTTCCCGTTCCTGGAGGGAGGGGTGTCACCCCATATCCCCAGGGCTCACCCTATGTCCCCAGGGGCTCAGCTGACATCCCCTTGCTTCACCCCATGCTCCCAAGGGCTCACCCCATGCCCCCAGGGGATGCTCTCATGTCCCCGGGAGTCACCCCATAGCTCAGGGGCTCACCTCACGCTCACAGAATATTGCCCCACGTCCCTGAGGAAGTTGCATCCCTGCCCCCAGGGGTTTGCCCCACATTCCCCCAGGGGTTGCTCCCATGTCCCCAAGTGTCACCCCACAACCCAGGGACTCACCCCCGTGCCCACAGGGTTTTGCCCCATATCCTCAGGTGTTTGCACTGACATCCCCACGTGTTACCCTATAACCCAGGGGATCACCCCATGCCCTGAAGGTTTTTCACCCCACATCCCTTGGGGGGGGGGGTTGCTCCTACGTCCCCCCGAGGGTCACCCCATACCCCTGGAGGGTCAGCAGGGGACATTGGACCTCCCCTGTGGAGCCTCGGTCTCCCCCCCCACCGGGAGTCGTGGCTGTGCCGGGGCCCCCACGCAGGTGGCGGCGTGCGGCTGGCGAACGGCAACGGGAGCTGCCGCGGGCGGGTGGAGGTGCGGCACCGCGGCACCTGGGGCACCGTCTGCGACGACGACTGGGACTTCCCCGACGCCCAGGTGGTGTGCCGGCAGCTGGGCTGCGGGGCCGCCCTCGCCGCCACCGTCCTCGGCTCCTTCGGCTACGGCAGCGGGCCCGTCCTGCTGGATAACGTGGGGTGCGGCGGCGGCGAGGCTCGCCTGGCCGACTGCTTCCACCTGGGCTGGGGGCAGCACAACTGCGGCCACCACGAGGACGCCGGGGTCATTTGCCGAGGTGAGAGCCGGGGAGGGCCCGAGGGGCCGCCAGCTGGTGGCCGGGGAGGAGAAGGGGGATCTGCGGTGAAGCTCGGCTCAGTGGAGTGGAAAACCGACGAGATAATGGGTGTGGGGAGGATTGTGGCCGTGCTCTGGGGAGCTGCGGGAGGTGGGGGTCTCCAAAATGGGGTGGGGGTGACTAAAGAGCACATGGGATTCCTCCTGCCTGTGGAGGACAACAGCAGCAATCTGTGCTGTGGTGCAGGTGACGGTTGGAATGTGAGTACAACCTCTGGTCTCTGTGCACTTCCAGGGAAGTGCAGATGCTGCACATCCCACCCAACACATCCCTGCATCCATCCCCAGCCATCCCACGCTGCTGCTGGGGGGGCTCTGTCCTGGCCCTTGGGGGGCACAGGTGTCCCCTGAGTCACTTTCCCCACCCCTTCCCCACTGCACCAGGTGCTGATGACACTGGAGAACATTATCAAGAAGCCACTGCTACAACCACCACGTTGGTCCCAACTCGTCCCAGGGAGGGTAGGTACTGAGGTGTCTCTTGAGGACCTGGTGCCAGCCCTGGGGATGCTCCACACTGGCACGGTGTGGAAACAGAGATGGCTTGGGCATAGGCATGGGCTTTGGCAGTACCTGAAGCACCCACATGGAGCAGGCCATGGGAGGGGGAAAAGTGAGTGGCACCATTAATTCATGGCCTCTCCTGGTGCCCCCAAGGTTCAGGCAGAGGTGACAGACCTCTGGTGCTGGACCATTGGGTGTTCGATATTGGATGGGAGAAGAGATGACAGACCTCAGGTGATGGACCTCAGTGGGGAGGGGAGGTGATGGACCAAAGGGGCTGAGGCAGGAACAGAGGTTATTTTCTGTTCCTTCAACCTGAACATCCACCACAATGCTCTGGGGGTCACTCAGATACTGGCAGCTGGTCACCCCCCTGTGCATCCAGCTGTGCAATGGCAGCGGGGGAGCTGTGGGCACCAGCAAACATCTGCAGAGCCTTGGAAAGACCAGAGCTGTTCCGAGGTGGCTGAGAGGGGGGGCTGCAGCACTGGGATGGGCAGGGGCAGGGGCTGCCTCACCCCCTGCCCTCCGCAGGGTCCCTGCGGCTGGTGAATGGCAGCCACCGGTGCGAGGGGCGCGTGGAGATGTTCTACCTGTCCCAGTGGGGGACGGTGTGCGACGACGCCTGGGACCTGCGGGACGCCAAGGTGGTGTGCAGGCAGGTGGGCTGCGGGCACGCCGTGGCAGCCTGGGGGGAGGCCCGGTATGGCCAGGGCACGGGCTACATCTTCCTCGACAACCTCAAGTGCAAGGGCCACGAGCCCTCGCTGCTGCGCTGCTCCCACATCCGCTGGGACGTCCACAACTGCGACCACTCCGAGGATGCCGGTGCTGTCTGTGACATCCTATGACCACCCCCCCCCCAGCAGGTAAGGGTGCACAGGGTGCAGGTGGTGATGCCCACAAAGAGGGGCTGAACCCTGACACTCGCTCTCTGCCTCAGTTTACCCCCTCACCCCAATGGTTTGAGCCCCCTGTGGGTGTTTGGGCTCTGAGGATGGGAAGAGATGGGTGAGGACTGGGCTCTCCTCAGCCCCTGAAATGCTGGCTGAAGGTTTCCCTCCCCAGACCTCCCCTTGGAAAAACAGAACTGCTTTTGGTGTGAAATCTTGTTGGTTTCAGCCATTTCTTTTAAGAGAGGAGGAGAGAAAAATGGACTTTCTGCTGTGAAAATGACGTTAAATTGTACTCAGAAAATGTAAAAAGGGGGCTGAAATCTCACCAGGATGTTCCAGTGGCTCTGCAGCGAGTTGCTGCTGTTCTACAGTTTGCTTTGAAAACCCCTCTTAAATCCCAATACCAGCTTTTTCTTCCCATTTTGGCATCAGAAATACCGATCCCTCCCTCATTTCCATGCAGCAGAAATTCAGGCGTTGGATCTCACGCCATCTGCAATCCTCATGCCCATTTCCCCTGTTTCTTCTGCAAACCGTGGAGTTTTAGGAGACCTCATCTGAGATTTCCCTTCCATGGGGGGGCTTCAGCACAGCCTGTCCCTGCCCAAAAAAATCCCTTGGGGAGTGGGAAAGAATGGGGCTCCTTGTAGCCTTCCCATCCCTCTCCATCCCATGCAATCCAGACATGCTGGCTTTGACTGCTCCATCCCATAAGCTCCATAATGCTCCGAGGTGCCCAGGGCAGGCAGGGAGCTGGCAGACAGGACACAAGCAGATGGAAAACCATAGGGGAGGCCCCAAATCCCTTCCCAGAGCGAGGAAGGGAACCCAGAAGCCCGATCTCTTCCCAGTGCTGTGCCTTTGGGGTAAAGGCTGTTTCCCTCCCAGCTCAGGTGGAAGGACCCAGCCTGCAGCACCAGTCACCTTCACCACCAAGTGTTTGATTGGGATACCAGGAAAATGATGTCTGTGTTCTCATGGATGGAGTGTAAGGGTGAGGAAGGGCTCATGCAGCAGCACAGAGCAGGTCCCAGCTGCTCCCTCTGCTGCACTCACTCCTCTGTTTGTGCAATCCTTTTGTTAATAATAGACTGTGCATATCCCTGGGTTGGTTTTTTTGGTTTCCCCATATTTTCTTATATATGTTTGGGTGTTTTTTTTTTTGTGAATAAATAAAAGCCCTTTGGAAGTGCTCTGAGACCTGACTTGTCTCCCTGTCACCCCCTCAAAGCCCTGGGCAGGAGTAATGCCCCAAACCTGGAGGAGAAGGCTCAGCTCTTGCTGCCAAAAATTGGTGCAAATCCGTTGCTGGCCCCCAAGCAGCCCTTGATTCCCACCCAGCTGGGAGCCCAGCATGGACCCCTCCTCACCCTATCTCTGGGGGTACAACCATGACCCCCACCAGGCTCGGGGTTGGTTCCAGCTGTGGGTTTGTTCCCGGTGGGATTTGCCAGTCATGTGGGCTGTGGGGTGGCCCTGGACCCATGCCAAGGCTGATGTTGGCTGCCTCCCCTCCACTTCCCGTGGGCAGAGCTTTTCCAGCACTTTGCCCCCTGGCCAGATTTCCATCACTGAGGGGGTGGAGGGGAAACTGCAGCACGGCAGCATCTTCCAGGCAGGCTATGGCAGAGAAGCTTGACTTGGGCTTGCTGGGGCCCTGGGAAAGGGCAGGGAGGTGGTGTGTGAATAAAACCTCTCCTTTCCCAGGTCCTGCACGCTCCACTGCCCAACCAGTTGCCCCCTCACCCCTCTCCTTGCTTCCTGCCTCCAGAACAGCTGGGCAATGCCTGGGTCCTGCTGGGAGCAGGAGGGGGACAGAGCTGTCCCCGGCACTCCCCAGGCCCCCTTGCAGCCCACACCAGCTGGGGATGGGTCAGAGGGTGCTGTGGGCTCTGCCAGCTTTGCTGACCCCTCCCCATGGCTATGGGAGGTGGGGAGGGATCTGGTGGCCAGGAGCTGCTTGGGAGGCTGCTGCCTCTTGGGGTGTTGCAGGGAAGGAAGGTGAGTAAGGCTGGATGGGTTTTCCCTGTTTTCCTTGAGGACTGTGCCTTGAGCAGGCAAAGCCAGGCTGGATTTTGGTGTTACCCAACACCCTGCTGTTCTTGGCTTTAGGCTGGGAAAGCAGGTCCTGCTCTCCTGGAGCTCCTCCCTTCTACAGCCTGCAATCCAGCAAGCAAAGGGTTTCCAGCCAGGAGAGACAGCAGCCGCCTCCCTTGTCTCCCAGCTTTTTCTCCTGCAGCCAGCTTGGAATGGGCTGGGATCCACAGGGATCCCCCCCAGACACTCCACAGCCAAGCTGGACATCATCTCCATGGGAGCAGGGAGTGAGAGGCAGGGTGGGAGCAGGGAACCAGCACAGGGGATGCTCTGGGGCAGAGTACCAGTGTGGGGGATGCTCTAGAGCAGGATACCAGCACAGGAATACTCTGGAGCAGGATACCAGCACAGGAATACTCTGGAGCAGGGTACCAGCACAGGGAATACTCTGGAGCAGGGTACCAGCAAAGGGAATGCTCTGAAGCAGGGTACCAGCACAGGGAATGCTCTGGAGCAGGGAACCAGCACAGGGAATGCTCTGGAGCAGGGAACCAGCACAGGGAATGCTCTGGAGGAGGGAACCAGCACAGGGAATACTCTGGAGCAGGGAAGCAGCACAGGGAATACTCTGGAGGAGGGAACCAGCACAGGGAATACTCTGGAGCAGGGTACCAGCGCAGGGGATGCCGGTGGTGTGAGAGCATCCTGCCTTGGGACCACAGCCAGGCTGCAGCGGCTGCGTGGGAGCTGGGATAAGCTGAGGTTCCTGCCCAGCTCTTATCCTCTTGCCGACGTCAGCTGTTTCCCGGTGTCCAGAGCAGCTGCAGTTCCTCACCGGTCGATCCTATTGATTAGCTCCTCTCGTCTTCCCCCCGGAGAGGGGATAGTGTGGGGGGTAGCAGGGAGGAGAGAATAAATATTTCAGCAGGTCTGGGCAAAAGCTGAGGTTTTTTTGGGGCTGGGATTTATGGACTATTAGAAATAAGGAATGAGTCTGTGCTGGGGAGAGGAGACCCATTAATCCAGGCTGAAGGAGCACAAATGAGCAAGGGGAAATGGAGGAGGGTTTAATTACTTTGCCACGTTCTTGAATAATAAGCCAACCTCTGGCTGAGTGCTGGTGTGGGGCTCAGGAGTTTTGGTCCCCAGAAATTGGGGCAGACATTGATGTGCCTGGCTGTGCTGGGAGTGATGGGCATCCTCCTCTGGGACCAGCGTCAGACCAGCACAAGACAGCGTTTCCACATGGGATGTGATGTGGAGGATGGATGCCCTGCTTGGAGAGGGTGCAGACTGCAGGGCCTTGCTGGAGGGGCCCGGGTGTGGGTGCACAGTCCCAGGGGTGCCCTCTCAGGGCTGGGCCAGCCTGTCACCCACTGTGCCCTGTTAAGGCAATCCCATCTGTGCCTGTAACCGGAGGAGCTGGGCACCATCCTGCGCAGGGTGAGTCAGTGCCCGAGGCAGCCCTGGCCCGGCGAGCATCCCTGGCTCTGCTGTGTCCAGCACCACCTGGGTGACCTTGGGCTCTGCTCTGTTTCCCTGCTCACTGTGCTGTCTCTGCATCCCCCCGTGTGCCTCAGTTTCCCTGGAAGGGCACCGGGAGGGTGGCCCTGGCTCACCCCTTGGCACCCTTGGGCAGCTGCAGGGATCCAGCTGCCCTGGCTGGGGGGGCATTCCTTACCATATGGGGGCACCGAGGGGCAGATTTGCCCCCTCTGGACAGGCTGCCCCATCCCCTGCGGCCAGAGGTCCTGGGAATGTGGGCACCCACGTGGCAGAGATGCAGGGCAGGGACATCCTTGGACCACCTCCTCCGAAGGGGTGGATGAGGACCTGGACTCCCCGCAGCATCCCTGCGGCACTGCAAGTCTCGCTCCCTTGGGATCACGGCCCACGGTGCCAAGGTCACCCAGCGGGACCGTGGTGGGGTGCAGGAGCTGCTCACCACACCCCACGCCCGGCAGCGTCCTCCTTCCCTGCTCCTGCCGGGCCTGCCGCCGCGGCTCCCGCTGACGTCACCCGCCGGAGCCAGGAGCTATTTTGGGAACTGCAAAGTCACTGGCGCAATTAGTCGGCTGGCAAAGGCAGCGGGGCGGCGGGGGGACCGCGGGGACGGCTGTTCCCTACGCCGTGCCGTGCCGTGCCGAGCCGTGCTTGGGGGATGCGTGCCCACGGCCCACGGGCACCGGCAGATTCCTTGTGCCTGCGGAATCCAGGGCTCCCTCCACCAGGACAAACGGCCACGGCTGCAAATCCTCCCATCCATCATCTCCTCCTCTCTCGCTGCCTTTTATATATTTATATATATATATTTAATTTTACTTCTCTCCCCTGGCAGGAGCCACCCCACGTGGGCTGCTGAAATGCTGGCGAAAGCCAACTCGCTGCCGCCTCGCTGCCACCGCTCCCGTTTGGAGGGAGAGGCAGGAGAGCAATTTGCTGGCAGCGGCAATTTGCTTCCCGTGGCAATGCCGCGGGTGAGGGGCTGCCCTGCGCGGGTCCGGCCATGCTCCTGTGCCAGCTGGGCCCTTGGTTTAATCCAATCTGCCTCCCCTGGATGGATGCAGGGTGGGTGCTTTGGCTACACAGCCCCAAATTCCCTGCTGTCCATCATCCCGGGGATGGGGATGTGGATGGGCTGCTGTCACACCCGTCCCCGGAGCACAGCACAGACAGTGGGGTCCTGCCCTGCCTGGGAATGCGGGGATGGTTAGCGGGGACAATTTGGGGTGCTCAGCCACCCTCCTCAGTGCTGCTTGCTTTCTCTGCCCACCCTCCTCACCTCCTGGTAACCTCCAGGGCATGGCCAGGGGGTATGTGCACAGAAATACTGGGAGAAGCTGATCCTGGCAGGCTCTAAACACCCTAAAGTGGGGCTCAAAAATTCCTTTAAAAAATCCCCAGACTTGTCTGTGTGA